AGTAGATGCATAAAAACACAAAAAAGAGTATTTAGCCTTGTATCTAGCCAAACTTTGCACAAGTACTTATTTCTGATAGTTCTTCAATATGACAGTGCCAAACATATAAAACATATGAATCCTATAAAACCAATGAGGTCGGAGGACAATTTGTCGTTGAATTATAGAATACTAGAAAAATGAACCTTTTTCCCGTGTTGTTCATACGTGCCACTTCCATAATATTCGAAATTTGTAAGATAAGATTTTATGAAATTTGTGCAGCAATATAATTGTATTCATTGAAATATGATTTTACACATAGGTAAGATATGCTATCCACAATACTTATTTACTTCCGATGTTCTTCTAGTTGTAACCCACTGAACAAAGAATCAAAGCAATATATCGCGTTTAGGCGCTGCAAGTTATCACGCCTGTATCACTGGAAAAAATCGAGCGCTTTAAAGGTTGTTCATTTGATGTAAATATGATCTAAGCGTCCAAAATTCTGTAAATTTGATGTAAATGTTTGAATAAAATTTACAGAATTTTGGACACTTAAATAAAATTTACAACCTTTAAAGCGCGCGATTTTTCCAGTGTATGTACATAATTCAAAAAGAAATTGTCCGGGTTACAGGCAGTTTATTAGTTCATCAAGGGGTTATTGAGTTTTTGTTTTTTCGTCAAGGATTTGGTTTCTTTCTAAAATAGTATGGAGTAAGAAAATTCTGAAGTTCACTTTGGTGCATCTCTTTTTTATCAATAATTGTTAACGAAAGGACATTTAAAAAACAAGAAAAAAATTCAAAAACATATGTCTCCTGAATTAAAGAAAATTTCGAAGAATAGGTCTCCTTTTTTGAAAGGAATCGGAACAATTTTCACACCTGTATGGGGAATTTTGATCGATGTTCACACCTGTTGATACCTGTTGATCATACCCCATAGAACCAGCTGACTAGTGACCCGAAGACTTATATCGCTATTAATGATTAATGTTTTCACGACAAGATTTTTTGTATGAGAAACGGTAAAAAAAGTCATGATCAGTAGGTCTTATCAGTTTGTAAATGAAGCCATGCAAAAACAAAAAAACACACACACAAAAAAAAAACAACAAACAAACAAACAAACACAAAAACGTAACAAAACAACAACAACAACAAAAACAAAAACTATAGAAACCAACAAAGTCATTCTCCATTTCGTTTAGTGTAGTACTGATATAACATTCGATTGATCACATTTCACTACGATGATCATACTCTACTAATATCTTATTAACCGAGCGCGATGGCCGAACGGGAAGTTATGGACCGAGTTTTTTTCCACTGACTATTGGACAGAACGCGTAGCGCGAGGGCCATAAAAATTGGAAACAAACCGAGGTTCCATAACTTCCCGTACGGCTCGAGCAAGCGAGGTTAATAAGATATTTATTATATAGCATTTTCAGGGAATAATAGTAAAATTAATAGAGAATCGGACATAAAGATACGTTTTCGTTCGTACTTTTCTTTTCATTCAAAATAGAAGGAAAAAAGAAAAGCCTGAGAAACCTTGATGGCAAGATTTGGATTCATTTTTGACTCTTTTTTATACAGTACAACTACAAAAAGAGAGAAAGCGAGCCCTTTTAAGATAAAAAACGTTTTTTCTCGTTTCATCTGGTACCAAAATGAAGTTAGCCTGGGATTCGCAGCCTTAGATTCACATTGCCYGAGAAKGAGATTCGTTTCCGGKGGGGTGAAGCAATTTTCTTTTAAAAGCGTTTCAACGCTATAATATCGTTATAATGAACATCAAAACACATAAATTGTATAGACATAAGTGCATATAGCTGTTATATTTTATATTTTCAAAAGAAAATCCGTTCGAAAAGAATTTTATCAATTTTTACCTTCAGCCTTAGATTCAAACTTTCAGCATAAGATTCACAATCACACAAATGAGAGCAGTTTCAGTCTGGCCTTGGATTGCATTGACGTTATGTGATATCTTTACAATGCAACACTTGATAATGAGTGTTAATGTATTAAATTACACGCCAGCCTGAGATTCCCTTTCCCGTTACGTAAAATGGCTTTAATTACACCCCAGGCTGAGATTCCCATTCACGTTACGTAAAATAGTTTTAATTACACGCCAGCCTGAGATTCCCTTTCCCGTTACGTAAAATGGCTTTAATTACACCCCAGGCTGAGATTCCCATTCACGTTACGTAAAATAGTTTTAATTACACGCCAGCCTGAGATTCCCTTTCCCGTTACGTAAAATGGCTTTAATTACACCCCAGGCTGAGATTCGCTTTCCAGTTACGTAAAATAGTTTTAATTACACGCCAGCCTGAGATTCGCATTCACGTAACGTAAAATAGTTTTAATTACACGCCAGCCTGAGATTCGCATTCACGTTACGTAAAATAGTTTTAATTACACGCCAGCCTGAGATTCGCATTCACGTTACGTAAAATGGTTTTAATTACACNATGAAATCCTAGAGGGAAACTATTCTCGATTTCATTGTAGGAAATCCAAATAAATACAATATTGTTAAGAGCGTCCTTTTTGACAAATTTATTTTCCTTT